CCCACGCAATTGTTTCAAGTCATAACTTCGTTATTATTGCATTTACGAAAAAAATGCCAAAGGAGAAAGATGAATGGTTCGAAGAACACTACATCGGTAGGCCTTTAAATTTTTTTTAGATGCAGCAGTGTATATGCAATTAACAATTGCATCATTTCTTGAAATAGAAATGCATATTTCTTTCAACACAGATCAATTCTTCTGTTCATTCTACGTAAAAAATAATTAGGGTACCATGGCAAAAAATTATTGGATTTCGAGATATTTTCAAAAAATCTCTTTATTGAAGAAGAATTTAAAAAAAAAATTTAAGGGCCTACCGATGTAGTGCTCTTCGAACCATTTATCTTTCTCCTTTGGCATTTTTTCGTAAATGCAATAATAACGGAGTTATGGCGAAACAATTGGGTGGACCACCCTGTATACATAATTCTGAATATTTAAAAATGGAAATGTTCAATAAAGAAACGTAAATGATAGGTTTTAAGAGGAAATCACTAGGATATTACTGAGCAAACACAGCGAGTAAATTTCCAAATTACCCGTCTGTGAGGCTTGGGCTTCACGTTGGGAAACACTGAGCTAGACAATCTATTTCTAATTCAAGAAAAAGGAATATTTATTCATCATATCGTTATTTTCCGGATCTTCGTGAAATTATTGGCTGTGCCAATCAATGTCTGACTCATTGTAACTAATTCGGAAAGATACTTTTAATTGTACAACGTCTAATTATATAATTCGTTCTCCTTGCAGTGGAACTGGTATTGCGGATGTTCAACTACACTCTCGGCAAGGAACTGTTCCAAGAGGGCGTTAGAAATTTCCTTGGACATGAACCGAAAGAGTAGTAATTGCTTCCGTTAGTTAGCCGGGAAGCAGACGAAAAATGCGAGTGCAAATGCAAATCCAAAGGAAGAAATCATAGCGTATTTTCACGAACGAGCTAGAGACCATATCGTAGGAGTCTCTACGAAAAATTAGCCACGAAGATTAGGCAAGATCGTACAAGCATGATCTGCAAGTGCAAAGAAGAAAAAAATGTTATATGAAGTTTGTTTATAGACGCTTTGTTACGATATTGTAGGAAGGAAAGTATTGAATGTAGCCTGAATACAGTGATGGGCAAAATCGTAATCGCAAATACGAATACGATTGTAATCGCATCTTTCCGAGTTGCGATTACGAATACGATTACAATCGTAATCGTAATAGCATCTTTTCGAGTTGTGATTACGAATACGACCGTATTCTTAGAGGTTTTCAGCCATAGAAATTTTTTACCTAAAAACCGACCTCAGATTCGTGTTCCTCACATTAAAGAACTTAGAAAACCATGCTTTCGTCAAAATAAAAAATTTTAAAAAAGTTACCCTATCTAGGCTCTGCTCTGTGGACATCGAAATTTTTTATTTTTGACTTAGACGAATGTATGGTTTTCTAAGTTTTTTGGGGCGAGGAACACGAATTTAAAGTCGGTTTTGAGGTAAAGAATTTCTATGGCTGTAAACCTTTAAAAATACGGTCGTATTCGTAATCACAACTCGAAAAGATGCTATTACGATTACGATTGTAATCGTATTCGGAAAGATGCGATTACAATCGTATTCGTATTTCCGATTACGATTTTGCCCATCACTGTATCGTATTCGTAATCACAACTCGAAAGCATTCGATTACAATCGTATTCGTATTTGCGATTACGATTTTGCCCATCACTGCCTGAATAGGTGTAGAACAGCAGATTTAAAGCTGAATAATACGTAAGGTTGATTGTGTTTACTTTGCCTGTACTTACGAGACATTTCTTAACGTACGAGGATCATTGAGAATTTTTAAACCATCATTTCAAAATGACCACCTTCTGCATTGATACAAACTTGACAACGATGTAACATGGAATGTATTACATTATAAATTTCCAGAGGATTTTGCTGTATGTCAGCAACTGAATTTGTAACTCGTTGAGTTAATTCTTCACGTGTACTTACTGCTTATATGTACACCTTCTGTTTTAGCGTTCTCCATAAGTAGAAGTCGAGAAGTTTTAGCGTTCCCCATAACAAGAAGTCACATTCAATATTTGCTTATAATATCGTAACAAAGCGTTTATAAACAAACTTCGTCTAACATTTTTGTCTTGTTTTCACTTGTAGATCATGCTCTTGTAATCTTGGCGGAAAAGTAGGAAACACTGTGCACAGAAAATATATGATGTAAAAGTCTCGACGAAAAATAAGGCACGGAGATTCGAATCCACGATCCTCGGATCCATACTCGACCGTTTTACTTACATGACCAATCCCGCACCCTATAATTCGTGTTCTTGTTTGACTCGTTATTCTTGAGTATGGGGGGCGCGATACTACAATATATTTCTTTTAACAGCTTTCTCTACTTTCACAGTCAACGTCGTAATAAGAAAATATGTCTATCGCCACCGTATAAAATTAGAAATTATGTCGCGAGTTAATTTTTCGCTGCCTCGCTGTTCATTTTTAAACTGAACGCCTGCGACTTCTTTGAAATTGTGCTTTCTAAAATCGTTGAAAAACATTGCTTCCCGGCTATTCGTCTTTTGCGATCGATCCCGATCCGATTTAATGTACCTGTTGAATGCGTTGTTTCAGAAATCCACGGCTGGACTTTGCGGATGACTTCTACAGCATATTAAACGATGTCGCGAATAAAACGGACAATTTACCAGCGGGAATGACGATCGACAGCATCGCGGGACCATGGATCAATCGAGATAGAGTGCCTTTGGTCACGGCCATTCGCGATTATGAAACTAAAACGATTATACTTAACCAGGTACGTGTACCTGCATTCGTAATCTTATCGAACAAAAGCGGTTTCCCCCCAGGGTCGTAAAAACCGAAACAATGACGTGATTTTCCCACGGATAAAGCCCCGTCTTGGAGGAAACACTGTGCAGAATTTATTCGTGAGCTGTTCGAATCAAGCTCCTTCTGCATAGTCTCGGATGGAATAGTAGATCAGTAGTTTTGGAAAATTTTCAAATGCGCACAATTATATTAAACATTCTACAAAATCCAACAGGATCGAGTGCGCGTCGTGTTATCTGGCATCTGGCCGACATAACGTTATCAATTGATCATCCAAACAACAAAACTACAGCGATTTGTCCTCGATCCACTAATGAAATAATTAATCATTCAAACCGTGAAATTACTGTAATATGTTTGTGTCGAATTAATTCATCCTAGCTATTCGTTCAAATATTCTCAAACTTTATTTTTATATCTTACGACATTCGGTACATTTGCACATTTTCGTACTTTATAAAAGTTGCATATTTTCTACGTGCATGTGAACACACATCGTTGCATTCTTCTATAAAAGAAAAGAAATCTTTTTCGATGAAACCTAAAGCTACATGTAAGTGTGAACTAAACCGGACGGATGTGCAATTTCTCAAACGGGCAGGATAATTGAATGAAAAGATGTCTGCCCTTGAAGATAGAAAAAAATACCGGCTATCTTTAGAAAACCTATTGCAGTCATTTTTAATTAAGTATACTGCAATCGAAATAAAAGTTCCACGAGTGATATGACCTTGATTGTAAGTCAAATTTACATATCGTCGTCCGTACAGCTTTGAAGAGATTACTTTAACCAGTATCTAAATTCCTGAGATTGCGTTATTCGAATATCGTTAAAGAAACGATCAAATAAATAAATATTTACATTAAATACATAATTAACGATAGTGTCAACTTTCTATTGATCTTCATCTATCGTTTAATTGTTTTTTTATTAATGTAATTAACCATAATATGTACGTACATGGTGTGTACGTACGGAGCTGCATACTTACTGAATGTATTACATTATTAATGAACACGTTTATAGAAAGTCTACCTCAGAGAAGCTCCGCCAGCCTCCACTGCTAGAGTTTCCTATCAGTGGGACATACCAATAGTCATGATGTCGCAAGACAAATTAGAATTTCACAAGCCGTGTCCTTTATGGTTGACAAAGGCAGATGAACCGAAAAATTTCACTATCCCGGACATCGCCGACGAAAATAATTTTATCATCGTGAATCCTGAGGAAATAGGTACGTAGAAACGAAGAAATTTATAATTAAACGTTTTATGTCTTCGTTTGAAAAAGTTATTAAATGTATATTTATAAAATACAAACAAGAAATACAGCAATCACGAAATCGTTCAAACTGCTGCAATTAATATAATATTTCAATGAAAATGTATATACAGGGTGTTCAGGCTATTACTAGCCAACGTTTTTCTTGTAAATGGTACACATGACAAAAAAAAATGAAAGAGGAAAAATTTATACTGTTTTTTGTGTGCAATGTAACCAGGTATATAGATCTTTCGTATTTGTACTACTTTCTGAGAATTGAAGGTGGCCTTTAGTGTTTCAAATGGAATGGTATATTTCTTGTACAAAAATATGATAGAGTATCGAATTCTAAATAATAAAGTATCGACCTTTATTAGTCCTGAACCTAATAGGTAACGAGTAATTTCACTTTATTACTTAAAAATGTTCTTAACGTAATATCAAGATGGAGATTCAAACAAGTGTACTACGAATTCTTCGTAAATTTTGTAAAAATATCAACTTATAGAGGATGATGAGACAAAACTTTTTCATATTTACAATTTATTTATAGCACGCTTAGTTTCGATAATAAAAATTGAAAAGTTAAAAGTTCGTTGGAAAAATTGAATTTTAGGAAAAAAGTCTGTATAAGTTTTCAATTTTTATCTATGAAACTAAACGTCGTATAAGTGAACCGTAAATATAAAAAAGTTTCGTTTTGTCATTCTCTATAAGGTGATATTTTTTTTAAATTCGATAGTTCGACTGTTGTTTTATTCTTCTGTAAGACAACAGCAACAAGATCAGACCATTAAGATATCTCAAGAAAAAAGTCTTTTAAGTTTTTAATATTTGTTTTTGTAACTAAACGTCCTTTGAACAAATTGTAAATATAAAAAAGTTCCGTCTTCTCATTCCCGATAAGCTTATATTTGTTTAAAATTCACAACTCTACGCCTCTCAGAATTTCCAGGAAAAATCGTCCTGCGGTCAAAGAGATAAATAATGATTAAGAATACGTATCGAAGTTTTACATATAAAACTTGTATCAAATTTGATGACGCGTATATAGTATTTATAAAAGACAAATCATACATCCTCAAATAAGATCGCAAATACGATAGTAAATCGAGATAAATAATTTTGCAGGAATATTCCCGGTGAACTACGATTCTTGCAATTGGGAAATGCTATCGCAATTTTTGCAAGGTCCCAATCGTGAAAAGATTCCCGTGCTAACGAGAGCGAAACTCTTGCACGACTCGTGGAATTTAGCGTACGCTGGAGAGCTCTGCTTTGAAATCGCATTGGACATGACACTCTTCTTGAAAAAGGAAAGGAGCCACGTGGTTTGGGAACCCATGTTCATGATGATCGATCATATTGGAAGACGTATCGAGGGATCCGATGTTTATCCTAAATTTGAGGTAAACTTAACGCTTACTTCCTCCAACGTGTCTCGTTTACTAAGTCATGCCGTAAATTTGTTTGCAATTATATTGGGTTACCGTGAAACAATGAGAGAAAATTATTGCCATTTTTAATTAATACAAATCGTTTGAAGCAGAAGGCACCCGTGCTAAAAATGTTTACAAATTTCACAAACATACAGTACTTGACAAACGATACACCGAAAAGTTTGAATTTTTGTCGAAATAAAGTTTAAATTTACATTTTCATTATTTAATTTCGAGTTCTACGACGTCGTGGCGAATTTTCTTCAATTACGATTGACGAGAAACCAATATGTATCTCACTATTACTGCTTCAGGCGTATATTCGCAGCTTACTAGAGCCTTTATGTGCGGAACTTGAAGAAACCATGCAACCTACCGAACCATCTTGGAAAACTCACATGCGTGGTTTAACTAAAAACTTCCTCTGTCGTGCTGGTTACGAACCATGCGTTGCCGAAGCAAGAAATCGATACAAGAAATGGCTAACCGACGAGGATCCGGATAAAGGAAATCCGTTCGTATTTTTCCTATTCGATTTTTGTCTTTATTTTAACATCGATAAACTCCGTAAATGCAATCGATCAGAATATTATCGTTGTTTAGTTTCAAATATTTCAAATATTTTCTTCTCTGTGACAGGATTAACATTTCAGTACTTACAGAATTTTTAATTTTTTCTATGACAAATACTCCGCCAAAAATTAAATATAAAATTAGACAAAATATCCATACCTATAGGTTTAACAATGCATTAATTTAGTGTTAGCGAAAGCCAACATACACGACAGTTCTCTTGAATTTTAATTGAAATTCTCTTGAACTTTAATTAAAATTCTCTTGAAATTCTCTCGAATTTTTTTGTCAGGATAAAAATCCAGACTTTCATCAATGGTCGTTTTATGACGAATCTCCAAACGTTGGTTGGCCACGATATGTTACGAACGTCACAGTCCGTTAAATAGAATTCTTATATTAATAGAATTATATTTTTTGATTTTCTAGAGTAGCCAATGAAGTTCTTTGTCCGGTGTTCAAATGGGGTACCGACGCAGAGTGGGAATTTGGACTTCAGCGTGTAATAAACTTTCCACAGAATAGTCCAGAGAGGAAACAAAATGAACGCACGTATCTATTAAAATCCCTAGCTGGTTGTCCTCAAGATACCAATAAAATTGAAAGGTACCGAGTTTTTCTACATTATACAATATTTTCTTTGTTTTTCCATTTTTATTCAACATAGAGCACATTTGTTTTTTAAATACCTACAAACAACAACTTATAAATTCCAAACTTTCTATGTTTGTCAATTACAAAAGTTCATATGTATCATACATAAATCGACGAAAAAAACATGATAAATTATACATATATTGAAGTATCCTAAAGTATTCGTAATATTTGTGAATAAAATAGAACAGACTATTGGATATCATTATTTTTTAAACCAAACATATCCTCGAATAACGACGCTTAATCTACAATACATAAACGAAACTTTTATATAAATATTACTTACGCGTTAACCAACGCGTAATACGATCTTCTAACTGTACCCGATGAATATTATTAATGTTAATAATAACACCGCAGATTGTTGAACGTGACGATATTGGACCAAAATGGGAACTTTACGGACTCTGACATTCAGTTGATCTTCACTATGTTAACCGGTGGGACGGCTGGGTACACGACTCTCTTCAATTTCTTGAACGACCATTGGGACACTGTAAAAGAGAGATTTAAGACCAAGAAGCATCTCTGGGATGGCATAATAAATTCGGCAACGTCCTCGTTCAACACTCAAGAAGGTTTAGACATGGTTAACGATTTGTACATGGACCGCAACGAGGAATTCGACACGGCCAAGCATATTATTCAAGACGCTCTCATAATCATCAAGGAAGAAACAAAATGGAGCGAAAAGAATCTTCCGGTGATCGATGATTGGCTCACTAAAAATTTGCCGGAAGAAGAATTACTAAAAATTTGCTCAAAGAATAAGCTAAATCCTGGAACAAATCCACCACCACCGCAATGATTTTTATTGTAAGATAAAAAAGAATCGTTCGATTTAATTTGGAAAATGGATACAAAACACGAACAACGTAGATAGACAAAATAATTTACAAATTTCCGAAGCGTTTTTTTTTTAAGTTATATTCCGTAATGAGTTTCCAATGGTTGGGGTTTTAGGTACACGAATAATTTTCAGTTTATTGTCAGGATCGTTATTAAAAATCCGAGTTAACATTACCAAAAGTTAATAAATGGATTATTAATAAATAGATCTACTAGATAAAAATACACTGTAATTGAAATTACGAAAATGTACAAAGCTCTTCGGATATCGTTAAAGTTTGATTATAATATGGATTTATAGTCTACATTTTGTTTATTTATCATAGACACAGAACTTTTGCAAATCTGTAACTGCTGCAAAATATTTATACAATATCTGAGTCCATAGAAAAAGTAATATAGTTGCGTTAATTGCGAATGATAAAAGTCTAATAAGTTTTTCTAATGTTACAGATTCTGTTTCAATTTTTATTTGTTGTTTATACCAGCTTAATTGTCGTCGAAATGATTAGAATATTCATGTATAGTAATGTAATAAATGTAAGATTACAAATAGTCGAGTTATTTTATTTTTAACCCCTATAAACATTTCTAATATTTCTAATAGAAACTTATTAAAGACAAAGTGTTAAATCGTTTTGGCTTTAAGGGGGTAGTCTGGTCCAGCTAATGTATTTTTCTAATGCATATAATTTCCAGATATAATTAGTTTTTGGCATTGAAACTTTTTTTACATATAAAGGGACATTGAAAAAAGAAAATTTGACAGTGTAGATTTAATTTGAATGTATACATGTATAGATAACTAGTCACAAGGAAAGAATTCAGTCAAAACGGTGGGATACGTGGAGCCCTGGAAAAACATCTGATAGGTAAAATCAGAAAATTTTTTTCTTTAATAGGTACGTAAAATGCGTATGAATCTCAATTTGCAAATAAAAATTGTTAATTGGAGAAATGGCGGCAAAAAACATGAAAATGAACGATACATGTTGGCCGTTATTTTGCAATAACTTTATGCTATAATAATAATTCATTAAGAGTCGAAGTTCATACGCATATAAACTTAATTACCTTCAATTTAAGCATTGAATCAAGTGAATCGGATAAAAATTCGATGAGCTATGGGTCCCACCGTTTTCACCGAATCCTTTCCTTGCGACTACTATATCTATGTATATGTATATGTATATGTATATGTCTACATTCAAATTAAATCTACACTGTCAAATTTTCTTCTTTCAACGTCCCTTTATTATATAAAACAAGTTTCAATAACAAAAATTAATTATATCTGGAAATTATATGCATTAGAAAAATACATTAGCTGGACCAGACTTCCCCCTTAATATAGAATATTAATTAAACTTATAAGAAATTGCATAGAATACAATATTCATTTATGTTCTTTATATATTGTTATAGTTGCATTTTCAAACGGAAATGCATATTTTTTGTTGCATAGATTGAATCATTTCGTTATTCTGCGAAAAAAAAGTATTAGGGTAAAGTGGTAAAAAAATCATTAGTTAGTTATAAGACCGCAATTTCCAACAATAACAAAAGATCACTATAATTATGTAATGAAAACAGTTAAAAAGCGTTCTATAAAATGCGTAAAAAGTAATGGAGAAGCGTTTGAGTATTTCTTCATTACAGATAATTGTTTAAAGTATCTGGAAACTAATCATTTTGTTAACACTTTATCCTAATACTTTCCGATGTCAGTGTATACTACAGTCTGTACTGGTCTATACTAATAGTTTGGTGATCACATTGTATTTTTATAGAGACGAAACTCAGTCATTTTTTTAGGCCCGATTCGTGATTCTTAATGCGCATGCGTCTTCTTAGAAGCATCACCGTGAACCATCGTGAACGTAGTTACCTGGACCGGCATTGGGGCGGGGGGGGGGGGAGGGGCAACCGCCCGGGGCGCCAAATTTTTGGGGGCGTCGCAGTTCGGTGTCCCTAATATACGAATATACCGATCAGGATATCCCAAAAATGTTGTAACACCTTGAAAGGGGTGGTTCGGGTGGAGATTTGAAACAACTTTTTCCTTAGCGCAAATGTTGTCTGAGACTTCGTTGAGGAGATATTAACCGAAAACACTGACCATTCAGAGCGCGCGTATACCGTTGGAGCGCCTGCGGTAGCGTATGAGCGCGGCCGCCTATCGCGTAGCCTACGTTCAACCGGCATACTCGCGCTCTGATTGGTCGGGGTTTTCGTTTAATATCTCCTTAACGAAGCCTCGGACATTTTCGCTAAGGAAAAAGTTTTTTCAAATCACCTCCCGAACCACCCCTTTCAATGACCTCCAACATTTTTGGGACACCCTGTATATACCCCTGAAGGGGCGCCAATATTGCTAAAATCGGCCCTGATAGCTACCATACCTTGGCAATATTAATTGTAACGTGTGGTTAAATTAGAAACGAGATTCAAACACGAACTTGGCAATTCCACCATAAATTTCCATTAATCTATACTAAACAATACATCTATTACGTCACGGTTTACGCATATTGTAAAGTGCGTTTCGATTTTCAATTGGTGGATAAAAGTCACCAATGTTTTCCAACCAATCACAAGTCACTGTGCCTCTGTGACGCGCTGACGCGTTTTGACTTGACTAGTGTAGTAGAAGTGTACAACATCGGAAGAACGTACTTCTAAGCCAAGGTAGAGCATCTATATTGCGATATGAGATGGCTAATTTTTGAGTTTCGTTTACGTCCTGTTTTTGTACATTTTAACGCTTTAATAGGCAAATGTTGTATAAAATCATCGATCTTACGAACCGACACTCGCGGTGGTGTTTGATGAAACTCAATAGAAAATGTATAAGCGCGCGACATCATTATTCGTCGTCGAACAGAACTAATCGCACACATTTAACCAAAGGTTTCAGTGCTTTTTTTAAAACCACACTTGACAGAAGAAGATCAACGTTTTAATCGTATTTTGGTATGTATTTTTTCGAGTACCATTAAACTAATAGCTAAAGTGGACTGTGCGATTCATCCATTTCATTAATTGTTCAGTTTATTTTGCTGGAGTAATAATTTCCCAAATTTCAATTTACAGGCATAATGGTTGAGGACTCTAAAACTTGTGTCCTGCAATGGGCTGGTCATGCAGGATATGTTACAGAGAAATTTAGTGAACTGTTCGCACGTCAAGCATTTGTTGATGTTACACTCGTCTGTGAAGAACAAAAACTTCGTGTTCACAAAATGGTTTTAGCATCGAATAGTACATATTTTGAGGTATGTTTAGCAAACATATTTATGATTCTACAAATACAGAGCATCAAAATTTGCCATTTTTACATATATATAAACATCTAGAGGATGTTATGTAATGCTGTATTATCCATTTTAATTTCAAATTATACATTCTACATTTAATATTCAAGCATTATTTAGTTTCCATATAATTATTTCACTTTATTAGTTGAACAACTTCAACAAAATTTGTATCTTGAAACTTTTATGAAGATAAAATTGATAAAACAAATGTAACCTATTACTTTAAATTATAGATAGTTTTATAAAATTGAAAATATTGATTTTATTATCTTATGTAGTAAATATGTTATGCCTATTCATTGAATTATAAGTACATACATTTTTTTTTTTTGTAACTTTTTCCTCAAAGATTTTTCTGTATCAACAAAATTAGGAAATTATTGCTATGTAACAGATTAGCTACTCCACCCTGTATAAATTAATATTTCATTCTTTGAAGAAGTATGTAGAATTAGTATAATTATTTTACTCCGTGTTCCTTTCATGATAATAGTATGATATGATGTTTATTTTTAAAAGCTGTTTAATCAAGAAAATACTATCTTTTCGTGTTATGTTTGTAGCCTCAAAGTTCTAGAAACAAACTTTCTCTTTTTTTATTCTACTGTTAATTTATATATTCGTGAATGTATATAGAATTAATTTATAATAAATTTATAATTAAGATGTAATACGTACTAAATAAATTTTGTAATTAAAAGATACTGAATACTTATGAGAGAACAATTTTACAGGGATTATGTAAAATTCATATAAAGTAAAGAAAGCCTTATATATTGGAATTTCCTTATTTATTTACAAACATTTGAAGATACCATGTTTGTTGGGCATACTTTTCACAGCTTATGAAGAACACCTATTCCATAGAAAGGTATTAGAGAACTAATTTGTATGAACTCAAAGTAATAAAGTAGATACACAGAAGTGTAAATAATTTTCTTCAGGGTGCGTGTAATATTTTTATTATCCATAATAGTAAAATAACAGGTGTAAATATAGTAAAGGACAAATGCATGAATGAATTTATGCAAGTTCCCACTTATGAAACTTTCCTTTTTAACAATGCAATATTGTTATATTACATAACTATTATTATTGAAAATTCATTTATCAAGATTTTGTTACAACATATTACTATAAAATATTTAATGCTATTACAAGTGATCTTTACTATCACTACATGTGTGCAACGAATCTAAGAAGTAATTTAGAACAAAATTAGAACTTAAAAGAATCATCCATTCATTTTCATGTGAATCTTTAAGCAGAGCAAACCTGTATCTATTAATACATTTTGTTTGCTTAATTTTTTGATGTAACAGGAAATTCTACAGCATGATTTGGGTCGAGAACCAATTATATTTCTGAAAGATCTAAGCTTTAAAATCTTGAAGGCCATGGTCGAATTTATGTACTGTGGAGAAACTGTAATTCCTCGTCAGTTATTATCATCTCTATTAGCTGCCACGAAAACATATAAGGTGAGTATTTCAAATAATATGATATAATCATTCAAGATGTAAAATATGTAGTGATGAGGAACAGTTACATCAAAATTTTGAAAATATGTGTTACTAATCTTTTACTACATATTACATTGAATAACTGGATATACATATCCATATTTGTAACAGATTAATTTCTGTGAATGAGTTTGTTATATGTACATATTTGTATTCAGTCTACCCATTTATTAATAATAATATTATTATTCTATGTATATACAGGTTAAGGAATTGACAACTATAGTTAATGCCATGATGACTTCCAATATAATAAATATCGATGGCAATACAAATACCGACAAAAGGATTACAGAATCAAAGGTTAGAAAGAATAAATATAATAAAGATAAC